GTCTGGACTAGCACCTCTATGACATTTTTTTCCCTAGAGAGGAATGGGAAGCACACATCCCTAAGAAGAGGTTACAGTTTTGTTACTTGTAATATTTGTTTTGGCATCCATATATATGTTTTTAAACAAAATATTGGGTTCTCTTACAGCTCTTATTACAATCCATCCATCCATTCATGGTGTCAAGCACATTTGCACATTTTTTGCCATCATTATTTTCAAAACATTTTCTTTCTACTTGAGCCCTTGGTATCAGCTCATTTCTCCCCCAACTCCCCATGAACCCTTGATAATTTATAAATTATTATTATTTTTCTTTTTTGAATTTTTTAATTTAATCATTTTATTGGGAGCTCATACAACTCTTATCACTATCCATACATACATCCATTGTGTCAAGCAAATTGTACATTTGTTGCCATCATCATTCTCAAAACATTTGCTTTCTACTTGAGCTCTTGGTGAAAGCTCCTCATTTTTCCCCTCCCTCACCACTACCCCCTCCTTCATTAACCTTTGATAATTTATAAATTAGAGATTATTATTATTTTTCATGTCTTACACAGACCCTTCACCCACTTTCTGTTGTCCATCTCCCTGGGGGGGGTTATATATAGATCCTTGTGATCGGTTTTCCCTTTCTCCCCCTACCTTCCCCTTCCTTTCTTGGTATCGCTACTCTCAATATTGGTCCTGAGGGGTTAATCTGTCCTGGATTCCCTGTGTTTCCAGCTCTTATCTGTACCAGTGTACATGCTATGGATTTGTAAGATAGAATTGGGTTTATTATAGTGGGGGTAAGGAAACATTAAAGAAATAGAGGAAAGTTGTATGTTTCATCAGTACTATACTGTACCCTGACTGGCCTGTCTTCTCCCCATGACCCTTATGTAAGGGGATGTCTAATTGTCTACAGATGGGCTTTGGGTCTCCACCCCTCACTCCCCCTCCTTCCCATTGATATAATTTTTTGTCTTGGGTCTTTGATGCCTGATACCATTGACATTTCATGATCAAACAGGTTTGTGTGCTTCATCCATGTGGACTTTGTTGCTTCTCAGCTAGATAGCTGCTTGTTTATCTTCAAGTCTTTAAGACTTTTGATAGCCGGAACCATCAGCTTTCTTCACCACATTTTCTTATGCACCCACTTAACACAGACAGATGGGTTATTAGAACAAATTGTTCTTGCACTGAGGGAGTACTTGAGTAGAGGCCCAATGTCCATCTGCTGCCTTGATACTTAACATATGTACATAGATGTATTTTCCTATCATTATCTATAAATATATTTATATATGTACATGCCTGTATTTAGACTTCTATAAATGTCCTTTGCCTCCTAGTCCTTTCCTCTATTTTCTTTTACTTTCCACTGTCCCACTATCATGTTTGGCCTTCATTCGGGTTTCAGTAATACTTCTTGGCTACATTGCCCTTGATCAAGCCCTACCAGGCATTCTACACCCTCCTCCCCAATGAGTTTAGATCACTTGTTGTTCCCTTGTCTCTGTTTTTGTTTGTTTGTTTGTTTGTTGACATACATATTTCAAATACCAGCAGGGTCACCATTGATAGAAAGGTTTCAGTGACGTTTCCAGATAAGGCCGACTAGGAAAAAAGATGTCCTTCCAACAAGTAATCAAGGATACTCTGATGGATCTCAGCAGAATAGTATCTGATATAGTGCTGGAAGATGAGCCTCTTGAAAGGTACTCAAAATACACACTGACCACAATAGATGGGAGCAGATCAACTATCATAAAGATAGTGCAGGACCAGGCAGTATTTCATCCTGTTGTACATGGAATTGCCATGAGTTGGAATCAACTAACAATGACAACAACACATCTCATACTGAGTGATGAATGAATCATGTACTAGTGATTAATGACTAGCCATACCAGTACTTTTAGACTCTGTACCTTTAACATCTTGCAGCTATTTTGTAAGGCCTTGCATAATAGCTTCAGCAAAGAGTTCATATAAAATAGTATATTAATTTGTAGTTCTTTATATATACTTTATTCTCTTACTTGTTGTCTTCAATCCTATGAGAACCTGTCTTTAGATGTCTGCACATATATCAGAGCCTGCTTCCTTTGTAAAGTCTTCATTTCTAAAGAGAGATACTCTTGCAATAAATGACACCGAGGGCTGAACATATCTGACTTCCTTATTGCCATGAGGCAGGGTCAGACATGTCCTCACACTACATCTTTCTGCATTTATTCTGGCACCAACCATCCTTCTACATGACACTCTACATCTATACTGGGCTTGATAATTCATTGCAATGACCCCCCTAGAATCTGTAGACAATTAAAGAGGCTGTCTCAGAAAGTTAATAGATTACCATAAGTCATGAGCAGTAAGAATACAGTTTTGGTTCACAGCACTACTTCTCAGCTAGCAACCAGCTCTTGCTCTGGTTCTCAGCTTCTCAACCCCGTGGTACCTTGGCTTCTACCTCTGTGGGCCGGAAAGCAGCTCACCTGTCACTCTGTCTCATAGTCTCATAGTTTTGGGGCCAGATGAAGAGAAAGTACTCCTCTGGATCTGTGCCACAGTTGCTGGAGCATCTGATTTGGCAGCTTCTGCCACTTCAGCCAGAGATTGTGGACCTGCTCTTCCCAATGGTCCTGTGGTTTTTCTTTGTGTCTCAGAAGGGTCTTATATATGAAGGAATGGCCTTAATTGTGGTGTGGTTTGTCTTTTAATAGGCAATACCTTGAAGGAAACTGACGAGGGTGTCTTAAAACAACACCACCACCCCCTCCGTAAAGCAGTCTTAAAGACGCCCTCAAGGAAACAAAGGATGTAGTTTTGTCCACAATACCTACTAAGGTCAGGCCTTAACCTTACTTTAATCCCGTAACAGAGAACTCCCTCCAAAGTGGGATCACAGCCACCTATACAGAGTCTATAATGATAATACATCACATAATTATGGCCGGAAGGGCCATGTTCATTGAATATATCTCAGTATATTTGGTTGATCTTATCTTCTTTCTCAACGCTTTTTTGCCCGTGTGCCTTCTAACGGTTGGTCTTATAGAATTATTAATAAATCAAGTTGATACTTTCATATTGATAGATTTGAAATTAGTTTTTATTATGTTGAAAACAATTTATGTATACATGTAAATCTGGCAAATTATAAGCCCCTACTAATATTTTTTGTAATGAATTATTCCAGCTCCCTGAATATGTAGTTATTACTCTAACTGTGAAATGAATTCGTGGTCAAATTAATCTTAGTGTTTATTCCATCTGTAGTGAGTTTTCCTTACATGATATCAATATGATATATTTATTTTTTTCTTTTCTTTTCAGGAACACATATTGAAGCTACATCAGAACCTCAGAGATAGCTAAGCTTTTTAAAAAAATTCTATAAGTCATAACTAATGGTATATATATATATATATATATATAAATAAACCTTTGCACATTTACTTTATCTGTGGAATATTCCACGGAAATCATGTTTAGGGCTCATTGTACTAGCATGCGATTTTATAAGATGTAATGTATTGTTGTATTAGAGGGATATTAGAGGAAATCAGACTATCTGTGGTATGCTCCTTTCACAATAGACATCTTCCTAGGGTGCAGTAAGAGGACCATTTTGCCGATGTGTGGAGACAGAAGCAGAACGCCTTGCTCCATACAGTGCTGGAGGAAGCACCTCGTAGGTTGGAAGGCCGTACACAATAGCTGCGCGGATCAACTGAAGAAGATGGAGGGGGCTGAGCAATGATGACTGTGAGTTTGAAGCTCACCAGTTAGCAACCAAGGGCAACAAAATACAATTACTTCTAGAACTGAGTTCTAACGGGTCTGGAGGGTACGTACCTGTGCATTTGTAGAATTAAAAAAAAATGTATTCTCCTAAGGTTATTCAAGAGGAGTCCAGGAACATCCCATACTTGGGAAAAGGATCAGAACCAGAAGAGAAAGTGTTTGTTTGTTCTTGGCTGGGACATTGCATTCTTTCCTGAACGTCCCAGCACACCAGGTCAAGTCCTTAGAACTATCTTCTCTGCTCTGCCCCCTGACAAGGATCTGTCCAGTGCTGGTGTAATGACATGAGCAAGATGGCCCCAGAGGGACTCACATATGTGAATTCTCCTGCTCTGGGGGTGAGACAAATAAGGAGCAAGAGTGTAACAGCACACTGGCCTTGTCCTTCCTCTCTGGAGATGCTTGGGCATGCTCTGCTCTGCTCAGCCCAGAGTTCCCAGAGGGATGAGATTGAACTTTGACTTTTGCACAGTGAAAAAGCAGCGCCAGGGACCTCTGGGGAGCAGGATGGCAGCTGGGAAGGAATTTGGATGTATGCTTTTCACTCTGGTGTTTTCATGTGACCTGACTCTTATTCTCAATTTAGTTCCATCTTGACCTGGAAAAGGCAGCCCAGGTTTGCCTGTCTTCCTTCAGCTTACCTTGACTCATCAGTGGCCACGTGCCTCCAAGGTGCACTCCCACCCCAGGTGTCCCCTTTGCTGGTCCCTTGGAACCCCCTGGGAGAATCTTTCTCTAGATACCTGCATTTGAATGCACACTCCATCTCCCTCGGGATTTTGTTGGGAGAGAGAGAGAGAGAGAGAGAGAGAGAGAGAGAGAGAGAGAGAGAGAGAGAGAGAGAGAGAGAGAGAGAGGTACTGGGGTCCCTGAAACCCATACAAAGAATAAGAATCCCAAAGCAGCTCAGGCGGTTCCTTCCCTCTCTCCAGCTGTGATTATTTGGACATCCTACTGCTTAAGAATGCTTCAGTTGCAAAAGAATAAAGGCCCCCACCCATGTCTCCTCAGTTTCCCCCCTCCCTCACCCGTTTATCAAACGACTGTTTTTTTTTTTTAATGCATGAGATAATAGACCAGCCTCGAGTGACCTGTTTTCCCCTCCCCCTCCCCACTTTTTTTCCCTTGCGGTAAAATAGGGCTGAAGAAAGAGGGCACTAGTGTGCAGCCTAGACCGTCCTCGCACCGTCTGGATTTGAGCGGAGGCGCCGCTGAAGCGAGCGCGGTCGCGGTCCCCTGGCCCTGGGACCAGAGCGCAGTCTACCCGACTCAGGTAAGTCTCAAATCCACATCCTCCAGACAGATCCCGGTGAGCGGACGCCTACAGCAGGGATCCCAGCCCCCCGCGGCAGCAGCATCCCCAGGCTGTCGGGTTTCCCTCCGGGTCCCGGCGCATCCTCGCTCCCGGCGCATCTCCCGGCGCATCTCTCTTTCAGTCCTGCATCCCGGGAAGAATAGGGACCCACGGGGTCTTGCTGATCTTTCTCCATGTGCCTCCTTGTGGGTCCCTTCTCTCGATTCTGCCTCGTTCCTAGAGCCCCCTTCTCGGCCGACTCTCACCTTGAGGAGAAAGGGACTGGGGAGGGACGGGAGAGGGAGCCAACTTCAGCCCGGCGGGCAGGCGGCGGGGATTTGGCGCCTCTGCCCCCGGAGCGGCAGGGTTTGAACGTACCTGCTGGGGCACAGCCTGGGAGGCTGCGAGAAGACAGGGAGGGTGGAGGATAGGGTAGGTAGGACGTGTGTGTTTGTGTGTGTGTGTGTGTGTGTGTGGTGTAGAAACGCGAGGGTAGGTGGTGACAGAGCAGCCAGGGTCTGGGGAATGCAATGCACGGCACTGGTCCCCGCGTCCCTGGTAGGCGACGTACGGGAACGCCCGGGTTGGGGACCGAGCCCTGTCCAGGGTTCTGAAAGCAGCTACCCAAATGCTGTTGCTGAGAGAGCCGCTCAGAGCTCCGCTGCACGTCTGATCTATCAACTATGCAAAACCTAAAGGTCCCAATTTGAGCGAGGGTGGACTCCCCGCCACGCACATACCTCCCTTCTGTCCCCCTATCACTAGAAGGGCGGGGGGCACCCTTACCTTATCAGCCCCCCTCTCTCTGAACATCTACAGTAAGCCTGACTTCTTAGGGGGGGTAAACAGCCTAACTCCACACTGGAGACTTTACCAGGCGTTGCCTTAGTAACTAGTATGGGTTTTCCTCAAGCTGCCAAATTTATATTTACTACTTGGATTGCATGCCAGGGTCTCGTCAACCCCTCAGAGTCAAAGTCATAGGTACACCTCTCACTCACTGTCACCTTAAAATAGCACTTCCATCTCTATCTTGGAAGTTTCCTTTTTTTTCCCCTGCCAGGAAAAGTTGATCTTTTCCAATCCGGAAAGTTCTCTGAGGTTAACTAGCTAACTCCTCCTCTCTCCCCCGAGTTCCCAGCCTGAGGGGACAGGGAGATAGAGGAGAAAGCGGTCAGGGTGGGCGGCTGCCCGGGACGAGGGAGGGCAGTGCCTTCTTCTGGATCAAAGCGGCCTCCCCTGCTGCTGCTCCGGCCACAACAGGACGTGTCCAGACCCAGAGGAGGGGGAAACGATTCACATCACTGACCTCTGAGTTCTGACTCGGTTCCTCCAGTAATCAGCTTTTTATTGTCTCCCTCTTCTGTTCAGAGTGTCCAGCTCACCGCTGCCCCCCGCGACGCCCTACTCATCTGTCATCAATTTACCTTGATGCATGGGTGCATAAAGGGGGCTGGTATTCCCCTCAAGACACCCCCAGGCATTGGGGGCAATCTCGGAGGACCACAGAAGGAGGAGGAGGCGGCGGTGGAGGCGACCGGCCAGCCGTGTTTGGCCAGGGAGACCAAGCCTGAGGAGGGGAGGCGTCGGGCGTCTGGGAGGCGCGCGCCCACTGCGGGCAGGCGGAAGGCGTCGGGACCAGTGTCCCCGGCACCATGGTCCGGCTCCTCTGGCTCCTCTTGGCCGCGGCGATCTTCTTGGAGACGTCCCTGCTCCCCAGAAGCTCGGGAAGGAGAGCGCTGCTGGCGGGAGCCTCGTCTCAGCGCTCGGTGGCCAGAATGGACGGAGATGTCATCATCGGGGCCCTCTTCTCCGTCCACCACCAGCCTCCGGCCGAGAAGGTGCCCGAGAGGAAGTGTGGGGAGATCAGGGAGCAGTATGGCATCCAGAGGGTGGAGGCCATGTTCCACACGCTGGACAAGATCAACGCCGACCCCGCGCTGCTGCCCAACATCACCTTGGGCAGCGAGATCCGGGACTCCTGCTGGCACTCGTCCGTGGCGCTGGAGCAGAGCATTGAGTTCATCAGGGACTCTCTGATTTCCATTCGGGATGAGAAGGACGGGCTTAACCGGTGCCTGCCAGACGGCCAGCCCCTCCTCCCAGGCAGGACTAAGAAGCCCATTGCGGGTGTGATCGGCCCGGGTTCCAGTTCGGTGGCCATTCAAGTGCAGAACCTGCTTCAGCTGTTCGACATCCCCCAGATCGCTTATTCCGCCACCAGCATCGACCTGAGCGACAAAACTTTGTACAAATACTTCCTGAGGGTTGTCCCTTCTGACACTTTGCAGGCCAGGGCGATGCTTGACATAGTCAAGCGTTACAATTGGACCTATGTCTCCGCAGTCCACACGGAAGGTAGGCATTGCATTTGGGAAGAAAGGTGCTAAGAAAGGCAGAGCATTACAGGATGGGCGCTTGGGATGGTGGTATCGTCTCTATTTATTTCTAGCACAGCGGGGGAACTGACTTTACCCTGCTCAGTACACGCCCACCAGGCTTTGCCTTTGTCTCCTTCCTGTAAATGACAGTGTGGGGACAACTGTATCCCGCGGTGTTTCGGGAGGTAGCATCCTCTTCAAGCAACGTGGCCAAGTGTAGATTTTAGATTTATATGATGGTTTGTCCTCTTGTGCAGAGTTTGTGCTCAGAAGGTTTATTTGCTCCAGGGGTTCTAGTGCCCAAAACTGATAAGCTCTGACTTGTCAAGCTGGAGGGATTGCCCCCAAAGGAGAGGTGAGCACAAAGAAATCGCTATGACATTCTGGCTTGAAAGCTTGGCCTGGTCTTGAATAGCTGAAGGGCTTGTCCTCAAATAGCCCCTCTTACACACCCCAAACTAAGCTGTGTGGATGTAGGTGATGATCTCCCTCAGTCTATCAGAAACTTGCATTTTAAAATTCTGTGGTGTCTTGGGTAGTCAGGAAAAGTGTGTAAGTAAATCACTAGTCTCCCCACCCCATCCCTCTACAGATGCTAAACTCACAATAGCACTTTAACCTCCTGCATTTGCGTTTTGACGTCTGGTCTTTTTCTTCTGACTCAATGACTGTGATCATTAGAATGTATAGTTCAACTGAGTGTCAATTACTTTAAGAGGCTGCCTCAGACATCAGGTTTAAAATGACCTTCTAAGATGGAATGTATTTTTATTTACCTGGGTCTAATAGCTTTCATTTTTTATAGAGACTTGTAGACCTGATTATTCAAAGAATTTCTTACAGGAAGATTTTCACCACTCCCCTCCTACCCTTAGCTCCATAGACTTTTGGACTATGGGAGACTTTTGAGGTCATCTACTCTTACCTCTCACTAGGAAGAAACTGAGGTCTGCCCTCTCAGTTAATGTCTGAGAAAATTCACTTGTTTCTGATGACCTTGTGGATATGGCTTGTGTCATTGATATTTTCAAAATCAAATGATTAAAAGGAAAGCTAAGGGCATGACATTATGTTCTTTTAGCTATTATACAATTTTCAGTTACTAGTGCGAGTTCTAAGTACACAAAGGAAGGCTTGTCCTCCATGAAGTAGTGATATGGTTAATGGTGATGGAAATGAATGTTTAATTTATAAAGGGTGCAGAGATTTCAGATGAAATAAAAGTCACATCGAATGCCACATTAGAATTTTAGACTTTTTGAGAGAAACTTTCCTTGAGATTTGTGAGGGATGTCTAACAACTGACTCATGTGAGTTTTCTAAAATGTGACTTTTAAATGTGAGCTGTACTGCTTTTTCAACAAGAACTCATTTTAGAAAAGTATGCAAATTCATGTTTAGATATTAATTTCTTACCATTTAATATTAACTTCCTACTTTTATGTTTAATACAGCACCTCCCCCCCACCCCCGCCCAGTGCTTAGCTGAAGCATCCTGAAAACACAGGTATGAATGGGCAAAGGTATCAGCACTGTAGAGATCATTCTAAGAGGGAAGGGCGACAGCTAGCATTAATGCAATTTATTTGAATATTTAATCATTCTTCCTCCACTGAGGAAGGTACCTGAATATGGATATTAGAAGTTTAAATCATTTATTCAGGAAGAAATTTGGCTTCCTGGGTAAGCAGTGGCTCCTTTCCTTTGTTTCATGATCAGATTGTTTTATTTGTGGGGGACGATGATGGTAGAAAAACCTCGAATTATCCATCTGTCTTCCAGTTCCATCACTTTGCCCCAAAGAAAAAGCAAATGCCATCAGTGGTATGTCTTTGACAATGAGACTGATGTCTTTGGAAAATTAACGGGATCTGTGTTTGCCAATCCTGTGAGGTCAGCGTCCATATGAAAACTTCACCCTTGCATTCCTTTTGGTTACTTTGCTTCTTTCCTGCCTGCCGGCTGCTGTTGTGGGGCAGAGATTCGTTCTCTGAACTGCTATCCTAACTGATTGCAGACTGGGATGTGTTCATTGAATCACATCCTAGCTAACTTCGGATTTGATTTTATTGCCAAGAGCTTAACAATATTTGTCTCACTATCTACACAGGATACCTTGTTTCTTCTCAAAGCAAACTTGTTTCTTTTCTCATTAGACATAACAGTGGTGGCAATGAAAATGTCTTTTATTTATTTTTTAATTTGCAAAGAAATATAATAGTCTCCTTTCCATGAGCTTCAACTGACAATTAACTTTTCCTAAGGTTCTGCCCTGCTGCTTTTCAAGGACCATGGTGTCCTGGCCTGCAGGCACTTTCTTGGATCATGTAGTCATTTTTCTGCCTTCAGAAAGATGGGGTCACCTACTGGTGACAGTTCCCTGTCAAAAAGCAGTGAAGACCACATTACGGTGTTGCCTCTGCCATCTGGGCACAATTCAGCAAGGAATCCAATTTGTCAGGATATTGGCAATTTGGAGCTAAGTAAATCTGGGACCTTTAAATGACCTTTATCTCTCCATTCCAAATCAGCCATCCCCTACTCAATATATCATCACGAACTTTATTCTCAATGGGAAGTTAATCTAGTGTAGTCAATATCAAATGATATTAGGTCCCTAGAAAAGTGTACCTTGATTTCTGTGTTAAGTTTTGACCGGCTTCTCAAATCATAAATGTGGCATCTTATTTTTGGTTGCATTGCTTTTATTAGTTTGTTTTGTAGTGAAATTAACCTTAGAAGTAAATTTTTATTTCTTCTTCTTCTTTTTAAACCAGTTAGAATTTAGCTGTGCTATCCCTTTCCGTGCTACTCAATTTTCTCCTCTATCATTTGTGCCACCCTTGTCTTCCATCTGTGACAACTGTCAATATCTTTGACAAAATAGAGAATCTTTGCACATATGGTAGGCTCTCCTAGTTTTTAAAATAGTTAGTCCTGGAAGGTCAGTGAAAAAGAGGTAGATGCTCAGCAGGATGTATGGACACAGTGGTTGTCATAATGGACCCAACCATGGAATGAGTAGTGTTTTATTCTGTTGTATATAGGATTACCAGGAGTCAGGACCAGCACAATTGCACCTGACAACGCAACGTGTGGGGAATGTTGAAAAAGCAAGCAGCGGGTAGTGAAGCAATAGAGCGTCATCAACCAAATTCAAATACACTTAGGAGCAAGCTGCTCACCTGGAATGTGTGTCTTTAAATATGCTAAGCATAGAGTACAAAAATAGCCTACTTCTGAGAAGAGTATCTCAGCCAAGGACACTATATTCCATCCTTCTGAAAAAAACAAGCAGGTTCTCCATCAAAAAGCAAATTTACCACTTCAAAAGGTTGTAGAAGATGGTATCAAAAACAATTTCTAGTTGTTAGAATCAAAGCCTTGAGTAAATTAATAAAGAATTCTCTTTAAGTTTGTAGCTTACATATTTTTGTGTTACATTCTTGTTTTGCTTTTGGATTGGACACATTTTAATTTATTTTAAGGCCTTCTCTTAGTGTTTTGTCTTGAGTAGCCAGATAATAATTGTTATAAGGGTGATACTGATTTCCTTTTGAAAATAGTCATAGAAAGTTGACTTTTTTGCAGTTAGGTTTGTTTGCAATTAGCTTTCCGTTGACAGGGTAGCTTTTTTTTTCCTTTTTCTTTTTTACATTTGCTTACATTTGACAAGAACTTGGCTTTTTTGAGTTTCTTTTACAAGTTTGTTCTGTTACCTTTCAGAAGATATTTCTTTCTATTTGAAATGAAATTCCGTAAATATCTAAAAACCTTCAAAGGCAAAAGCCCTGAAACAGAAATACCTAAGTTAAATAGTACTTTAACTAATGCAGTTATGAATAAAAATTCTATTTCTGGTAGATATATCTACCTTTATAAACTTGGTCTGTTTGTATATTTATGAATATATCTATGATATATTTATTCTATGCATCAATAATTACTGTGTATCTTCTTTGCTTTGATTCCAGCTTATTTAATGTTAAATCACATAAACAATCTTTTTTATCTTATCATAAAATAAGGGCTTCAAGTGTCTTGCGAGGATATCTAGGCTACACAATTACAGATGCATAACCCGCGTCTGTTATATGCTTGCCAAGAAGTGGCTTGCATATGCTCTAACTTTTCTAATGTTAGATGAGGGTTTTTAATGGGAGTGGATGAAGATAGGAGTCAGAAGCAGTGGCAGAATTCCACCTAAGGATTAGTTAGTTCTTCTGTATTGTGACTTGAAACTGACTAGCTGAAAGTTTCCATGAATCCTGCACTGGTCAGGAGCCATCCCAAATAATTGAAACTCCTCCTCTTCCATAGGCCATTTTCCTTCAGCAAATCTTCTCTTCTTGCCATACTTTACTAGTTCATCATCTATACAGTCTAGTTTTATTTCATTCCCTCACAAGGGTGACTCAAATAGATCAATTAGCACCCCCAAATCTTATATCAATAGATGCTTCTGTTCAGCAATATCTCTCTTACTTTAACAGGTTTGCTTTACCAGTTGTTATTATCATCATATGGAGAGTAGGACTTTGTTTTTCTAAGCATAAAATTATTACCTTAAGCTTGCATGCTAACTTGGTAGTGAGTTCTGGGATTTCAATGATTAAACTCATTTTAGCATTCCAGTATTTTGTCCTAGGATTTGATTATATACATTACAATGGTGTCAGAGAGACTTAGGTATGAAATCTGATTGCCTTTCACCAGCAAACTACTCCCTGGCTGACATTGATGATCATTCATCCTGTAAGGAATTCTTCTGAAATTTCTCCCCTGCCCCCCCCTCGCATACTGTATCATTTTGTAGATATATAAACTGATAGTAAAGAATTACATCTAAGTAGTATAACGAAAAAGCTGTCACAACAGATATTGAGTTCTAATGGAAGATTGAATACATTAAAGTCTATATAAGAAATTGAAACCTTTAGTCTCAGCTATTAAGTTCTGTAGACTCTAAAACAGAGT